CTTCGGTAACCCCCAAAAAAAGGCCCGACATATCATTCTAACAAACCCAAGCGATTCCCCTCCCGGCACGCAATCCGGCCCAGCCCAAGATCGTTCCCATGAACCCCACACCTTAATGTAAGCGGCCCATGTGGCCGGTGCCAGAGAAGCCTTCACAAGTCCCCCAAGCAGGACGCTCCCAGCCGCCAAATTTCGTCCGGACACGCCTGGCCCATTTCCTGCGCCTCCGGTGCCACCGTCCGGAATCGGGACCACTGAAAATGAGAGAGAGCGTCAGCCACTTCGTTCAAGTACCCGGGCACATGGCGCACGCGAAAGACAACATTGCGGGACATGCACATTAGGACGAAGTGCCGCAGCAACCGGACCACCGGTTTTGACGCCGCCGACTGATTATTCACTGCATGCACCACCGCCATATTGTCAGAGAAAAAGACCACCTTCTTGTCCCGCAGCCCTTCCCCCCCATAGAGCCATCGCGACCACCAGTGGGAACAATTCCAGGAAGGCCAGGTTCCCCATAAGGGCGCTCGGCCCCCACGCCAGCGGCCACCTCTCCGCGCACCATTTCCCACCAAAGTATGCCCCGAAGCCCACAGTACCTGACGAGTCAGTGAACAGCTCCAGCTCTGTCACTGACACCCCTTCCTGCCGAAAAAACACTGTCCCATTAAAGTCCCGCAAGAAGGTATCCCACACGGCAAGGTCGGCCCTCATGGCGGACGATACCCGGATGAAATGGCGTGGGGATCGCACCCCCGCCGTAGCTGCCGACAGGCTGCCGCTAAAAACCCTACCCATCGGGATTACCCGGCAAGCGAAATTCAGCATCCTGATCAATGACTGCAGCTGCCGCAGGGTGACTTTCCTCGCCTGCGCTACTGCTGCCACCGCCCCTTTTAGCCCTTGCAGCTTTGGCAGCCGACATTCGCCCCGTACCGAGTCAATCTCCAGCCCCAGGAAACTAAGGCACACTGCCGGGCCTTCCGTTTTATCCGCTGCCAGCGGGACCCCGAAGCACCCCGCGACCCACTCGATAGTCTGAAGCAAACGCTGGCAAGCAGGAGTGCTCGCCGGCCCCATGCAGAAGAAATCGTCCAAATAGTGCACCACCGATCCATTCCCTGCCTCCACCCGAACTACCCATTCGAGAAAAGTGCTGAACTTCTCAAAGTATGAGCACGAGATGGAACAGCCCATGGGGAGGCACAAGTCCACAAAGTATGCCCCTTCAAAGAAACACCCCAGCAGGTGGTGACATGCCGGGTGGCCCGGAAGCAGCCGAAATGCTGCCTCAATGTCCACCTTTGCCATCAGCGCCCCGCGCCCGGCCTTCTTAACCAGCTCGACCGCCCGGTCGAATGATGCATATGAGACTGAGCACAACTTCTTGTCGATATCATCATTCACCGACGCTCCCTTGGGGTAGGAGAGGTGGTGAATGAGCCTGAACTTCCCCGGCTCTTTCTTGGGTACCACCCCGAGCGGGGAAATCCGAAGGCCTGCCAACGGCGGTGCCGAGAACGGGCCCGCCATCCTACCCAATAAGACTTCCTTTTCTAATTTCTCCCACACCACCCCCGGGAACTCCGCCACCGACTCAAGGTTGCGCCGTACCCCAGACCCCCCCTGTCCCGGAATGGGATAAAAAACCCTTGCCCAAAGCCTGCCCTGCATCCGCCCTGTTACCGTAGCGGCTTAGCCATGGCTCCATCGTGTCTAGCCTCACCGGGGTTAAGCTCCGGGGCAGAGGAGACCCCTCCTTCCCCCCCAACTGTAGCAGCGACTCCGGCATTTCCTGACTTCCCTTTTTTGAAGCATCGGTTAAGCCCGTGTGTGCCCCCGCAGCCTGAGCACTCGTGCTTAAAACGACAGGTGTTCCCCCATTTGCACTGGCCTTCGTTGAAGAGCCAGCATAAGCCCTTTTGCAAGGCGGCCGACGAGGCGGACTGCCCCTTTGTGCCGGCCGTGTGCTGAAAGGGCTGCGCCTTCTGCGCCATCATCAATTTCATCCAGAGTGGCAGGTCCATTTGGTCCCATCTCATACCCGGATTGGCCGCCAAGCGCTGCCGAAACTGCTCATCATACCGCCACCACGCCAGCCCGCCGTAGGTGCGGTATGCCTCCCAAATTCCGTCTAAATAGCAAAACAGGGAGGAGCACAAGCCCAGCGATTTCTCACCTAGGACACTGGCCAGGACGCAGAACGCCCTCAGCCAGTTGCCGAAAGATTTCGGTATCTTACGATACCGCTTCTTTTTCTCCTCCTCCTCTTTTTTCTCGTCTTTCTTATCGTCCTCCTTGAGGTCTATAAACTCCTCTAAGGGGAGAAGGGAAAAGATTTCACAGAATTCGCCCTTCCAGATCTTGTCTTTTACCTCCTGTTTGAGGTGCACCCCGAGCGGACCTGCAAACGACACGTATGCGTGCTGTCTGGCCGCATCAGGGACCCCCCCCCACCAGCCAACTCCGCCCGCCCACTCGCTGCGTCCGCCCTGCTGCCAACCGCTCCCGAATCAACGCACGAACTAGGTTCCGCGGAGATAACACCCGTGGCCCCTGTCCCCTGTGCCCATACCTGACCTACACCGCCCCCGTGTCACCCCCGCTCCCAGCGAGTGGAGAAGTGTTTGTAGTGTGTGAACCAGTGTACTGGATTGCAATGATGCACAGGACTCACCGGCCAAACCCCCCGGTCTCCGAGCGCTGGGGGCTGCATTGTCCACTGTAATCCGTCCGGGAGGAGCGACCTCCGTTAACGCCCCGCCGACCGGGGAGCCAACCCGGTGCCCAGCTAACACAGAGGATGACCCGCTCCGAGACCTGTAACAAGGAGAAGATGACCCGGGGAGCGCCTGCTCTTCACCAAAGCCTCCCGCCGCGTGGTGCCCGCAGTCCGTGCTCCAGAGGCCTGGACGGCCCCGCCCCGTGGGCTACGACTCCTTCCCCCCAGCCCTGACCCTGCTCCTGTCCGACCCCTCAGAGGTGGAACTGTCCTGCTTTGACCTACGCCTAGCTCCCCCAGCCCCCTGACCCTAACTGGGGATGGGCTGATGCTGCTAGACCCCGAGCTAGACCCCCCCTCCTGCCACTGCGCCCCAGCACCTGCCTGTCTACCCGGGCCAACCCCCCACCCCCCTCGTCCATCCTAGACACTGCCTGATCAACTAATCCCCCTGCTCCCAGGGGCCCCGACTGCCTCACAGGTCCAGGCCCACCCCTAATCCCAGAGGGGGACCCCCTGTCCAATCTCGCTGCACTGAGGGACCCCTCATGCGCCCCTGACCTCTTCCCCCTCACTACCCGCCCCTTCAGCCCCACTGAACTACCCTGGGCACCCCCAACGACCCCCCTCCTTTCCCCTTGTAACCCTAGCGTGGCCGGCCTATTACCCCCCGTCCCCCCATCTCCACTACCCCCAGGCAACTCCTTCCCAGCACGCCAAGAGAGCCCCTGGCAGGGCCCTCTGCACTTGCCTGTCTGTCCTGGGGCCCGCCGGACGGCTTCACGGTTCCGGCCCCGTCTGCAGCATCCGCTGACCTCCTGGGTGTCCTCCTGGGCCGCAGCCCCGCGTGGTCCATCACTCCAGGGGGCCAGCCGGTGCCAACCTGGGAGCCGGACCGCCGCCGTCACGGGCAGCCGCCCGCCGCTCAGCATGTCCCCAAAGCCCCGGTAGCGCGCTGGGAGGCGGGGCCTCGACCGCGCTGCTACCGGGCCTGCTGCGGCCTCCTCCCGCCGCCATGCGCCCGCTGGCTCCAGCTGCGCCGGGCCCCGCGCCCGGGCTCAGCCTCCGCGGCGGCCACCTGGCCCACTCCGGACGGTCCTGTTCGCCCTCCTGGGCCGCCATTCCCGCCAGGGCCGGTCCAGTTGGGCCCGCAACCAATCCGCTCCGTGACCTCGCGCCGCCGACCGGATCCCCTCCAGCATGCTCACTGTATAAAAACCTATTGCCCCCACCCCTGTGCAAGAGGTGGGGGCCCTAAATAATAATGTGGAGGGGGGGACCTACTGTCCTCCCCCCTGGCCCCCACTCCTGAGCGGCGGGTGGGGGCCCTAAATAACAATGAGGGGGGGACCTACTGTACTCCCCGCGGCAACCACCCCTGAGCGGTAGGTGGGGGCCATAAATAAAAATTGGGGGGGGGGACCTAATGTGCTTCTCCCGGCCCCCACCCTGAGTGGTGGGTGGGGGCCATAAATAAAAATTGAGGGGGGGACCTACTGTCCTCCCCTGTGCGGCAGGCTGGAGCCCTAAATAACAATAAGAGGGGACCTACTGTCCTCCCCCCAGCCCCCACCCCTGATCGGCGGGTGGGGGCCCTAAATAAAAATGTATCCCCCCAGGTGACTAGGGGTCCCCAAACCCCTAGTCACCCCCCTCTCCCCCCAAAATAACCCCTACCTACCTCCTCATCCTAAAAATAATGAGGAGGGACCATTATCTAAATGCCTGTAAAAAAAAAAAATAGACTTACTATTTGATGTCTTCTTTCTTCTAAACTCTTCTTTTTTCAGCCCCAAAAACGGCCAAATAAAAATCCATAATAACCGACGCACTTTAAAAAAACAAAACAAAAAAAAGAGCGCAAAAATAAATAAATCAATTTTCACTCATGGAGGGCTCCGCGAAGACTGAGCTCTGCAGGGCGGGGGAAGGCTTATAAAGCCTTGCCCCGCCCTGCAGTTAGGTTCAGAGCACTCTGATTGGTGGGTTTAAGCCATCCAATCAGAGTGCTCTTGTAAGAAATTATGACCCTCTTACAAGGATATTCTTTTAGGGAATGTGTGACAAATAAGACATAAACACAAGTGTATAATAAAATGTATTGTAAATATTCATTTAAGGATACTGTTAGATTTTAAAAGGATATACACAATATACATTATACATTATATCCGGTACATAATCAAAAGCTACATAATAAAAAGGCAATACTTAAACATTTAAATGCAGGTCTTCCCCTTGCGCCTTCATCTTGGGTAATCTGGGACAGCCTCTCTTAGTTCACCATGGCCCTGCTTGCTGCGTTGTCCTCTCCAAAGAGAGAGAGAAAGAGAGAGAGCCTTCCTTGGTTGTTGTCCTTTTAAAGACTGATTCTTGGAGTAATAAACTACAAGTCCCAGAATCCCTTTTCCTTCCCAAAAGTGGTTTATCCCGCCCTCTTTCTCCTGAGAGTTCTGTCTTTACACAAGTCTTTCCCTTTGATCTCTTCCCTCCAGCCATACTGCAACTTTGTGAAAGACCAGTTGATTAGGTTTCTTGGTAGATTGGACTGCTTGGGAAAACACACACTTCCATGGTTACACCTAGATGTCTATTACTCTGATCTCCTGATAACATACAAGGAATACTGGAGGGATGTAAGCTTTTGTTTTAGCTGGGTGTTGTAAAATGCAACTGAAAGCTTTGATCCTTATCACACTGTTATCAAGTAAATGACCCCAACTTGTGAAACCAGTCACATACACAGAAAGTTATATACAATATTGCAGTCTGGAATATCAATTTCTTACACTCTGACAGGTAAATGAAGAGATTGACAGGTAAGTCTCTACATTTACCTGTCACAGCACTCTGGTTGGCTTGAAATCCACCAATCAGAGTGCTCTGTGTCATTTTACACATTAGTAGGCATGGCTGTGATGGCTTCTAAGGGCACACAAGTCGAACGCTTGTTGATTGGCTGCCCTGCAGCCTTTCAAAATGCATCATTAAATCGGGTCCGGGGTCAAAAAACTGTAATGTTCGGTACGAACCTGAACTTTGCGCTTCAGGTTCACTCAACTCTAGACATCATGCGCTATCTCACTAGAACCAATAATTTCACCACATCCTTGCTTTGCTCTCCTAAATGGCAAGCTGGTACACCTCAAGTTCTACTGCTATAGGCTGAAATAAACACAAAGGATTTGTACAACAGCAAAGAAGAGAATTTGTAGTTCTAGAAGGGGAGTCCCTCTATCAACTATTGTTATCATTCCTATTAATCTCTCTGTATTAAAGGACAACTGTCACCTTCAAAATGTGTAAAAAAAAAAAAAAATACTTTCATCACATATTGAAGGGAAATATATATATTTTTTTAGAAAGGGGGTATATGTAAAAAGGAAAAAAGAAAAAATGCATCCCTACCTTTAGTATATGACAGAATTCTTCAGAATCCTTGAATTTTATTATTCCTGAGTGGTGCTATTTATATTACTTTTTACATATTATTTTTATACTTTATATATGTGAATGCTATCAATTGTGAGAAATACGTATAGTTATATCTATCTATCTATCTATCTATGTTTCACTATATATATATATTTTTTTTTTTTTGGGGGGGGGGGGGGTTTATCATCTAGATGAATGTTACATTTATTGGGAAGTGCCATCTAAGTTTGTATTAAAAAAATATATAAATATATGTATATCGCAATGCCTCTATGAAAAGTATAGGAAAAAATACAACTAACTTTAGCAGAAATTGATGATGAAATTGCTCAGTGAAAAGGTTCAAAATGTCCTCCATCAAATCGCGCAGCAAATCAATCTGAAACATATAATCATGCAACATTTAATATGTGTGTATGTCTGAGTCTGTGTCTGCACATGCTTTTAAATAAATACCATCACATTTCTATATGGGAATGCTTTCATTATGATTAACCCCTATTTTAGGTGGCTCTAAATGCCGCCGGGCCTAATAGTACGCCCTCCGGTCTTTCATTACTTACCCGGTTGCCGGCGATCCCACGCTGGCGATCACGGTTGGGGGGACTCCCAGGGAGCCCCCACGCAGCAGATCTTCCTCCTGGCAGCCCCCCCAAGGACCTCACAATCACATGGCCGGGATAGCTGGCTGCAGCATTGCCAGCATGGGGGCTGCCTGTAATGACAGTTAGTCCCCCTGATGGCTGGAAATAAAATTAAAGTAATAAAAGTTAAAAAGTGTAAAAAATAAATAAATATATTCTTAGATTATATATATATATATATATATATATATATATATATATATATATATATATAATCTAAGTATATATATATATACACATATGCATACAAACACATACACTGTCTAGGTGTATTTTACTATTAATATATATATATAAATATATATATATATATATATAATCAAATTACACGTAGACTGATACTGATTAAATATATTTATAATTATTGTTATATATATATATATATATATATATATATACATATTTATATATAATATAAAAAAAAATATGTAACTGCGTTAAAAAATAAAATTAAAAAATAATTAAAAATAAATAATTAAAAAATATATAGATGTGTGTTATTTCGTTCTAACTGTATTGTGATAGTAATATATATATTTATATCAAAATACACGTACAAAATAATATATATCTATATACATAAATATACGTATATATCACTATATATATACCTATTTATAAATAAAAATATTTAAAAAATTATTTATATATATATATATATATATATATATATATATATATATATAACATATATATTCACATATGTATATATACACAAATACAAATTCTACATATATATTTATGTAATATTTTTACATAATTAGGTATCTTAATTAATTACAATTAGCGGGACCTGCCTTACAACCCATGCCGAAAGTAAAGGGAATTTAATTTGCTAGCACTATATTAACCCTATACCTTTCCAAGACACCATAAAACCTGTACATGGGGGTACTGTTCTACTCGGGAGACTTCACTGAACACAAATATTAGTGTTTCAAAACAGTAAATTGTATTACAACGATGATATCGCCAGTAAAAGTGAAGTTTGTTGCATTTTTCACGCACAAACAGCACTTACACGGATGATATTATTGCTGCGATACTTTTTACTGTTTTGAAACACAAATATTTGTGTTCACCGAAGCCTCCCGAGTACAACAGTACCCCTCATGTACAGGTTTTATGGTGTTTTCAAAAGTTACAGTGTCAAATATAAGGCTTGTGTTTCATTTTTTTCACATTAAAATTCGCCAGATTGGTTACGTTGCCTTTGAGACCCTATGGTAGCCCAAGAATGAAAATTACCCCTATGATGGCATACCATTTGCAATAGTAGACAACCCAAGGTATTGCAAACAGGGTATGTCCAGTCTTTTTTAGTAGCCACTTAGTCACAAACACTGGCCAAATTTGGCGTTTTTTGCATTTTTCACACACAAACAAATACTAACGCTAACTTTGGCCAGTGTTTGTGACCAAATGGCTACTAAAAAAGACTGGACATACCCCATTTGCAATACCTTGGGTTGTCTACTATTGCAAATGGTATGCCATTATGGGTGTAAATTTCATTCCTGGGCTACTATAAAGTCCCAAAGGCAACATAACCAATCTGGTGAATTTCAATTTCAAATGTAACGTGCTGTATTTGACCCTGTAACTTCCCAAAACGCCAAAAAAACTGTACATAGGGGGTACTGTTTTACACGTGAGACTTTGCTGAATACAAATGTGTATTTTATTGCAGTAAAAGCAAACAGTATTATGACATTGACAGTTAAAATGTCATGTAGTACTAAAAATTTTTTTAAAAATCTTATTTTCTCCCATTTTTTTCATATTAAATTATGTTTCATAGCTAAATATTTGATATTAAATGAAAGCCCTGTTTCCCCTGAATAAAATGATATATAATAAGGGTGGATGCATTTAATATGAACGAGGTGAATTACGGTTGGACAGACATGTAGCGCAAATGCCAGGTTTTGTTTACATTTTGTTTCGTTCACAACGTGTACATTTGGCTCAGTCCTTAAGGGGTTAAGGAAAATGAAATCTAAAATACCTTATTTCTATATGTGCTTAGTACAATTCATACACACACATTCCTGCATACCGTACAAATCAGGGTGCATTCCATACATGTCAGAAATATCAACAGTAGTCATGCTGGGTGTTGGATCAAGAGCTATCTAGAAATGTGTAGAAGTATTTGGCATTTCAGATTCACCCATCCGGAAAACTGAATGTAGAAAATTGCTTAAATGTTTCTTATAATAAATGAAATGTTTTGAATTATCTTGAACAGCTGTATGCTGTATCTATTTAACATTCTTTATATACCATTCTTTTTCAGAGGTATTTATAACATGTATCAATTAAGCAGAGGTAGGATTACAGAAAGAGGGATGTAAAATTAGATATTCTGGGATAAAAGGAATTGGTTACCTTGTCTGTTGGCTTTTACCTGAGATTGGTAGCATTTGTATACATGGTACTGTGCAGGGCTTGCCCGTGAGCTTACAATCTAAAATGTATTAAGGCAACTATTGACCATAAAGAAAATACAAGTGATAACTAATAATGTGTAGGGTATCATAGAGGGAAAAGAACTAAAATGTAAGAATTGACGAGACGGATGTCGAAGAACTGCTGGGGAATTCACACAGTTTGACTATAAATTAAAGTGTTTAATGGATGGATAAATGTATGTGTACTATATAAACAGATCATCCATGTTCAGAAATTTAACATCTGCCTTGTTGCTACATAATTAAAATATGTTAAATAAACTTGCAAGGCCTAAAACTATCTTTTGATATCTTTCATTTTATTTTGAATTAATTGCTTACCTGGGAAACAGAGTAAAGGAACACTCCAAACACCTGCGGCTGTAGTGGTTATGGTGTCAGGAATGCCATGGTGCTCACCATTTTAAGTAATCAGACCATTTTAGAATAATTTGACTTCTTACCTGGGGTTTGCCAGTACCGCTCCCTACCTGCACCACAGCTGACCTCCACCACATTGCACTTATGTAAGAGCTTCTGTTAGTTCTCCGGTTCAGGGATACCTAATTGGCTGAGAATGTCAGCCGATTTCATGGCTTCTGGCTCTCTGTTAACCGTAGTAGAGGCTGAAAGCAGCAACCGGCAGACACCAGATAAGCAGTCAAAGCATTCTAAAATGGTTTGACTTCTTACATTGGAGAGGAGCATGGCACTCCTGGCACCAAAACATATAATGCATGCTGTAGTGGTTATGGTGCACACAGTGTTATTTTAAAGGGATACTCTAGGCACCCAAATAACTTTAGCTTAATGAAGTAGCTTTGGTGTATACATTATGCCGCCTCACTGATTAATTCTCTGCATTTCTTTGTACTCAGCCGTAGTCACATCTCTACTGGATTGTAGCTTATAAAGAGGAGCCCAGGTATTGATTGATATAAAGATATAACCCAAACACTTGGCCACATCGTGCCAGTTAAAAAAACAAGGAAGTCTGTGGGTAGCTTCTCCCCTAGTCTTGCATCTTTTAAGAAGTGCCTTAAAACCCATCTCTTTAGGAAAGCTTATGGCCTCCCAGATTAACCTCTACCTCACATACCTGTCTCTTGCTCTCTCCGAAAGAGCAGCCCACCTTATTTGACTGCAAATTTCTGTCCTATTGTGTTTTGCACCCCACCTCCTATAGAATGTAAGCTCATTTGAGCAGGGTCCTCTCCAACCTATCGTTCCTGTAAGTTTTTTGTAATTTTCCTATTTATAGTT